CGTTTTCCTTGCAACATTTTTTCTTCTTCTTCCATTCTTGCTCACGTTTTGGCATTTCTCTCTCGCAATTGCACCAGTGTGACGTCACACAAAAGTTATTCTCAAAAATCCTCTCTGATCGGCGCAATCTTGTATTCTATCATTCTTGGGTATATAACATGAACCAATTAGAAAGATCAGGCTGAGAAGCAGCCATTTGTAATAGCAATTGAGAAAAAAGTGCGTGACGTTCGTAATTTTGAAGTTTGCTATATCTGTTTTGCATCTTTCTATATGTGTGTTTTGTCGGTGGTTTATTTCAGTTATTTTTAGGCGATTTTCAATAATTTTTTTTGTGCAAATGTAATTAAAATGAAGTGCGCGGTGATTGGTTGCAAAAACACATACAAAAATAATAAATTGGTTAGCACAAACATGTGCTGCAAAATTGCTTGCATGTTTTTCTTTATGCTTCGTCTTCATATTCTTTGTTTACTTTTCAAAGAAAATAACATGGCGCCGAAATAACAAACGTCAGCCAGAAATTTACTTCTTTTTTGCTTCATCTTGTCAGATCTTGTGTACTGGGATCATGGTTATATAACTAATACTAGGTTTACATATGAGTAGAGTAAAGAGATTAGCCATACAAAATCGTCCGTCGTTAATCTGTAATTAGGTGCGTTCGTTTAAAATCTCCAGTAAAAACCAACCAACTGCCAAATTCCGGCAAAATGTCATCTGTTCTCTCACAAGAGAAAAATATCCCAAATAGTACGCGAACAGAAAATTTGCAGAAACTTGCAAGTTAGACGAACAGCTGATATAATTTTTGTTTACATTCAAAAGTGTAAAATTAAAACATACGAAAAGTCATCACAAAGTGTTATACTGACACAGTTTATTGATTAAACAAATAACTACTTATTTCTTAAAAGTTTAATTAGTCGCATTTTGTAATTTTTAATGTTCAAACCATCAAATTCAATTTTGTGATTTGCGTAAATAAAATATNGTTTGCTATATCTGTTTTGCATCTTTCTATATGTGTGTTTTGTCGGTGGTTTATTTCAGTTATTTTTAGGCGATTTTCAATAATTTTTTTTGTGCAAGTAAGTTTTGGTTAAACATGAACAATTAACAGCTACGCGAACACAACTATTATAAAATAATGTGAGATTAAACCGATAACTTTTCGGTGTCCAGCCTAGTTTTATCGATTATTTTTGAGAAGAAGAGGAGAAATGTCAAATGTAAAAGTAAACAAAAAGGAACGCTAGCAAGGAAGAGGTTTGTCAAAGTATTTTTAATAAAATATTAAGTTAAAATATATTTAAATTACTTTATATAACAGAAAAAAGTTATCACGGTGGCACAGAGAAGAAACTTAACTTTTCCTTGAGTTGTGAGAATAACAAGCACAAAAAAATTTACGCCGAATAATCTGAGATTCGCATGTGTAAACGGGCTGATAAAAAGGACGAGCTTTGATTGAGATTNAGAAATGTCAAATGTAAAAGTAAACAAAAAGGAACGCTAGCAAGGAAGAGGTTTGTCAAAGTATTTTTAATAAAATATTAAGTTAAAATATATTTAAATTACTTTATATAACAGAAAAAAGTTATCACGGTGGCACAGAGAAGAAACTTAACTTTTCCTTGAGTTGTGAGAATAACAAGCACGAAAAAATTGACGCCGAATAATCTGAGATTCGCATGTGTAAACGGACTGATAAAAAGGACGAGCTTTGATTGAGATTATAGTTGCGTTCCTTATCTCCCAGAAATAGTCAGAAAAAGTCCGAAGTAGTCAGATTTAGTCCAAAAAGCGTTCCTTTACTTGAAAATGACAGCAAAAATGAGAGAGCAACAGTCAGTGAGAGTGACTCTCTTCAGTCCGAAGTAGTCAGATTTAGTCAGAAGAATTTTTTCTGGCATAATCCTGAAAAGTGTCAAACTCAACTGAATTTAAATTAACGGAAATTAAGGAATACGCAAAAAGTGAGAATAATCTAAAAAGTAAAAAAAGTTAATTGAAATTGGAAGGAGGCTAAAAATAATGGATATAGTAAGGGCCGGTTACTAAATGTCTGGTTAACACTAATCTGCGGTTAAACATCGTTATCGACGTTACCGACCCCCTGTTATATGCATGGGTCGAAGACGAAACAGAAAATTTTAAGAATTTTAATTACTAGTTATAAATATCGAAACGATTATCAGCTTATNATACGCAAAAAGTGAGAATAATCTAAAAAGTAAAAAAAGTTAATTGAAATTGGAAGGAGGCTAAAAATAATGGATATAGTAAGGGCCGGTTACTAAATGTCTGGTTAACACTAATCTGCGGTTAAACATCGTTATCGACGTTACCGACCCCCTGTTATATGCATGGGTCGAAGACGAAACAGAAAATTTAAAGAATTTTAATTACTAGTTATAAATATCGAAACGATTATCAGCTTACCAGCTAGNACTGCTGTTGGCAAGATTGCATTAAAAATACTAGCAATATTCTTCATATCTATTTTATATTTCACCGTTTATATTGCCAGGAAGATTGCGTTTAGTTACAAATACTGGTTTATAGTAATATTAAAAAATGCGGGATGAAAAAATCCACTGAAGTCAATGTGATGCGTTTTCCACACATTTAGTGGTAGCTCGCCACTTCGCGTGTCAGCTGTTTATCTGCCCAGGAATTGGCAGTGCTGCCAAGTACGAAAACGAGTTCCTGGGCGCGCTCTCAGAAAAAATGAGAGAGTTTCATACCTAGTTATCCATGTTAAAAATTAAAACACACTGTCTATATGAGAACGCGCACAACCAAAGCAAACGACGACGTTCGCCCGACGAATGTTCACGACGATAGATTTATTTCTGTTGTCGTCGCTGGCGGCAGCGACAAAATACGATCCATTGTGGCCNCTGTTTATCTGCCCAGGGATTGGCAGTGCTGCCAAGTTCGAAAACGAGTTCCTGGGCGCGCTCTCAGAAAAAATGAGAGAGTTTCATATCTAGCTACCCATGGTGAAGACTCCTAATATTTAAAAGTATGTTCACATAAATCTCAGATTATTAGCTAGAAAAATTAAGTTTCTTCTCTTTGCCACCGTAATCACTTTTTTCTGCTATGTTAAGGAATTTAAGTATATTTTAACTTAATAGTTTANACGAGTTCCTGGGCGCGCTCTCAGAAAAAATGAGGGAGTTTCATATCTAGCTACCCATGGTGAAGACTCCTAATATTTAAAAGTATGTTCACATAAATCTCAGATTATTAGCTAGATAAATTAAGTTTCTTCTCTTTGCCACCGTAATCCCTTTTTTCTGCTATGTTAAGGAAGTATATTTTAACTTAATAGTTTATTAAAACTACATTCCCAAACCTCTTTTCCTGCTAGCGTCCAATTTTGTTTACCTTTACATTTGGCATTTCTCTCCTTCGCAAAAATAATCGATAGAACTAGGTTGGACACCGAAAAGTTATCGGTTTGAAGTTACAAATATCAAAATTACAACGCTGTTTTCTGTTTTTCTGCTTCTGGCATATCAATCAAAATTGCAACCTTANCGATTTCGGGCTGTCACAACGTACAACACCTTTCATTATTGCATCATGATTCACAAACCTCTTTTCCTACTAGCGTCCAATTTTGTTTACCTTTACATTTGGCATTTCTCTCCTTCGCAAAAATAATCGATAGAACTAGGTTTGACACCGAAAAGTTATCGGTTTAAAGTTACAAATACCAAAATTACAACGCTGTTTTCTGTTTTTCTCTTTCCTGGCATATCAATCAAAATTGCAACCTTATTGCAAACTATTGGGAATTTTTGCATAGAAAAAAACAGAACGGAAAAGGATAAATTGCAAAAAAATATTGCAAATTCGCCACAAAAATATTGTTATTTCGTTATCAAGTTATCAACTAACGTAAATCTTATATCCTACAAAAATGAATATAAATTTGCCAAACTTTAATGTGAAAAATCTTGTGAAGGAGGCGGGGAGTACATTATCCAGAGTAGTGCAGGTAATGGGCTTAAAAAGGCCTATGGGTCTGAGTGTGCTGTTATGTCAGTGGGTGGTGGGTGCAAATCATATTGGCCATTGTTACAGAGCATGGTCAATTGGCAAGGTGACAGTATTACAAAGGAATTATCGAAATATGTGCCACTTTAAGACGATGGGATGTAAATGACATTGTGCACATGACATACCTTTTACGTTTTCCTTGGCATGCCACCTTTCCCGAAACATCGATTCACATTATATATACATATGCGTTTATTGTTCTAGCTGACGGAGGAAAAACTCGGTACCACCGAACGCACTGAATATGATAATGAGTTCCAGAATCTGGCTNATGTAAATGGCATTGTGCACATGACATACCTTTTACGTTTTCCTTGGCATCCCACCTTTCCCGAAACATCGATTCACATTATATATACATATGCGTTTATTGTTCTAGCTGACGGAGGAAAAACTCGGCACCACCGAACGCACTGAATATGATAATGAGTTCCAGAATCTGGCGGAACGTGCGGATTTAACAAAAGCATGGACAGAAAAGATAGTACGCGACACCGAAACGGTATTGATACCGAATCCGCAGAATCGCATTGAAGATTTTATTTTTGATAAAATTGAAAAAACAAAACCGCAACGATTGAGCAATTTGGAGCACTTGGCATTGGATATGATTGAGGCCGGTGGAGATTTTGGACAAGATCTACCGTACGGTCAAGCTTTAATAAAAGTTGGACAAGCAGAACAAAAACTCGGGCAGTGCGAGCGTGATTTCATTGCCTCATCTGGTATATGTTTTACTCAGCCTTTGCGCAAATTTTTAGAAGGTGAAATGAAAACCATTACAAAAGAGCGTGGCATATTGGAAACAAAACGGTGAGTAGATATCTGATACCATTTGAATGAGTTAAGGAATTTTTTTAATTACTTCAAATTATTGCAGCTTGGACTTGNACAAAAGAGCGTGGCATATTGGAAACAAAACGGTGAGTAGATATCTGATATCATTTGAATGAGTTAAGGAATTTTTTTAATTACTTCAAATTATTGCAGCTTGGACTTAGATGCATGCAAAAATCGCGTGAAGAAAGCCAGAAGTATGCTGGGTCAACAGGCGGTAAGAGTTAGGGATAAGCTACCGCACACGTATTTACATATGAATTGTATGTACATACAGACATATGTGCATAAATATATTTACTATAGTAGTTTGGGTGAATGTTGATGGTAGCCTGTTGATATCCGGTTGTTGCTGAAGTTAAAATTTCCGGGTGAAAATTAGAAAGACAAGAAGGACGTTTAAATTTTGAATTGATTTCATACTCAATTACTAATTGTAATTTTCTTTAAAATTGTTGAACGTCTTTATTTAATCTTAATTTTGTTATGTAAGATCTTAACGCAAAATAAATTATTTCATGCTGCTTTAATGTGGAAATATTAGAAAGATGGTATCTCCCCTGAGGTAGTTCTAGAACAGGTACTTAATTATTAGACATGAAAAGCCAATATTCATCAATACGCTGACTTTTTTAATTGAACCATTAAACTTTTCACAGGCCGAACGAGATTTACGTGTTGCACAAGCAGAATTTGATCGCCAAGCAGAGATAACAAAGGTATTGCTGGAAGGAATCAGCACATCGCAAGCATCGCATTTACGCCATTTGCACGCATTTGTAGAAACGCAAGTACGTTACTATAAGCACTGCATTGACGCAATGAATAATTTGCAGCGCGATTTGGCCAAGTAAGTCGCACACTATAATTGAAAACTTGAAAGTCTTTGAAAGTAGTAAATTTCATATTTGCGTATATACATACATATATACATATGTAGGTATATGTAAAAAGATATTGATTTTTTTTCGAATTAATTATATACTTTCAAATTTAGACCACACCCACATTCAACAACGAAATCTTATAGAACTTTCATTAGCACGTATTTATATGTATGTATAGGTATGCACATAGATTTTGTAGTTTAAATTTTCACACATGCATTGCAAAAAAAGCTATAAAATTTGGTAAGAAAATAAGTGAATGACATCAATTGGTTTGCAGAATGCGACCCGTAAAGCCGCGCCTACGCATAAACAGTGAAGATGTGGATGGGCCTCCCAATACGATTAACTACTCGATTGTCCATCCAACAGCTAAAGCAAACAAATTCGATTCACGTGAAACGAATGATGAATTTGATAATGATGAAGATTCAAATAACTTTCATACAATTGATATAAATAACGATAGTATAAATTTTAATGTAGATAAAGAAAATACCAGTAGCACATGGAAGAGTCAAACAAATAATACAAACCCTTTTGCGACCACGCAAATTTTAGAGCAGTACGATATAGAATTCGACACCAGTGCAATAACATCGGTTTAGAAAAAATGTACCTGCAAATTTAATATGTGTGCAACGGAAATAAATAAGGTTGTGTTATTCTCGAAGTATTGTCTGCTAAAAAATTTAAAAATAGGCTTTCTTAAATTGTTTAAATTTACTACTTATCAATTTTCAAAACTTAATAGTAAAAATAAGTTTTTTGAAAGAACCTAATCAAACCAAATAAAAATACTTATATGCCATTTTTCATAATTAAAAGGTAAAGAGAGTTCTATCGAAATAAGTTAACTAAACTGCGTATTTTTAAAAGCTTAAGGGTGAAAAAGGTTTGACGATATTTACATGCGATTGCTTATATATAAACAAACTAAACAATTTTAGTAATGAGTCAAAAAGATTGAAAATGATGAATATTGGGCCGTATGAATAAAAATAAGCAATTGCTTTTTCTTAAAATTTCAGATCTTTTACTCAATTTATTCAAACAAAATTGAAGTAAAAGGTATGAAATTTTAAGAAAAAGCAATTGCTTAGTTTTATTCATACGGCCCATTATCAAAATCAATTAAAAAACAATTAGGTATGTAAATCAAATAACAAATCAAAAAGATATTAAACAACGTAAACGAGTTTAATCATAATACAACGAATATACAATACATTATGCCTCTAATCAGTGTATGAAAAAGAATTTGAAATCTATCAAACCAAGAAGGTTTCATACAACGAAAAAAGTTCTTACATAGTACATATTATGAGCAGAATAAAATAAACTCTCTGATTCCGTTATATGCATAAGTTAAAATTTTTAGTTACAAATTAACTTCCGAAAGTGTTCGGAATATCAATCGTTCGAATAATGTCAATAAATTATATTTATTCTCCAAGTAATTAATACTATTCGCAAACCAAGTTATAAAATCGATAGAACACTAGTCACGTGTGTAGTTAAAATACTAATGCTTAGTTAACTGTTACATTATGCATCTCTTGTATGCTCTTTCCGCTTGTTTAGCTAAACAGTGCTACACGATATTTAGAATTGTACTACATTGGTTTTTAGGCAAAAATGTATAACGTAAAAAATATAAATGTTATAAATAAATACTGCTTACGAATTCCAAGAAAGTGGGTGTATCCCTTAGTTCAATTATTCAAATGAGGATTCTTTTCTTCCATTTTTAGATTGACTAAACGATTTCTGCATTTTTTTAAATTCTCTTATACACTGCCTTCATGCATATATTCATCTATTATCTTGCATAGTTTGGGAGGCCCCACCCCATATGTTCCGATCGATGTATACAATGATGATGATGGTAGTGGCAATCACAGCGCATCTAGTGGCATTGGGCTTAATGCTGGTGTCGTCGGCAGCGGTTTAGGAATTGGTGCTGCGGCTGGTGCTGGCGTAGGCGCTGGTAGTGGCGGCCGGCGGCGCAATCCAGGCGATACAACACTCACAGCTGATCAGATGAAACGAGCGCGTGTGTTATGCGCCTACGATGCTAAAGATCATACCGAATTAAATTTAAATGCGAATGAGGTGAGCGACCGTGTGTGTGGTTTTGCGTACTTTACTACCCTTGTATGTGTATGTAAACGTAAAAAAATTGATATTGTAGGTTATTTTCGTTACTGAATGCTCACCAGTGAATCCTGATTACATGTATGGCAAGCAGGGCTTACTAAAAGGATTGGTGCCACGCGCTTTTCTAGAAATGCTCGATGATGAAGAGAATGTTTCCGGTGAATATTAGACAAAGAAATATGAATAATTTAAATTATGTGAAATTGGTAGATAAGAAAATTATATTAAATACAAGTATTACACAACTCGTTGCATAATTTTAAAAACACAAGCAATGTTGAGTAAAATCTGCATACAAATACTCAAAATAAATAACAAATATGTACTCAAAATAAATATTTAATTTACGCATATTATTGTCAATACAAATATTAAATTCAAAACATATAAGATAATTGTAAAAAAATATGCAGCAATTTGACAATGACCTAGACATGCAGTACAATAATAAAAGAGAATAATTGAAATTATAAACTAACTTAAAGTTACCACTAATAAGTATTAAATTAAATACAATATTGAGTAATGAGTAGGCATTGAAAACAAAATACATAGCAGTAGGAGAATTTGTAGAAATCTCGCTTATGGACGTTAGTATTTGCATACATATGTACATTCAAACATATTTATGTGGTATGTGGATTGTAAGCTATTCCTCGATGTTTAACAAAACATATATAAAAAAAATAGAACATATGCCAATGGTACAATAATAAGGTTATGTCAAATGATAACCTACGGGTCGCATGATAATCCTAGCTATAACCGGAAAATATTTCAAAATGTATTAATTAAAAAGATGATTAATTTCCAAATACCTAATATGTATACTATTTTTTTACAAGTGTATTTTTTTCTAAAATGTTTTTTGTTTTACCCCCGTGTGCTTTAAAACATTACTGCAGTAATATTTTTATGCTCCTAATTTTTAATGAGTCTTTTTTGATTTTTTAAGCACGCCCAATGAGTGTATTTGCTTTTTAGAATTAAAAAAAAATAAGAATAGATTTTTCAAAATTTTTAAAATAATTCCACAAAAATTCAATTCAAACTTTTTTCATAATTAAAAAGATTAAAGCTCAAAAAGACATAAACTATAACTGCAAAAATACACTAGGACTCAAACACAATTAAAAATTGCAAATTATAAATTATTGAAAAATTTGCAAATTAGTTATAAAAAAAATAAGCCTGTTTTAAAACGGCGCACTTTTTCATTATATGAAATGCATTAAGATTTTTAGAATTATATAATTTACTCTAAAATGCGTATGAAAACAATTTATCGACGTTGCATTCCAAGCTATTCCAATATTACACAAATTTTCGATAAAGAATTGTTAATAATACGCTTTGAAACTACATAAAGTGTGAAATTCACTAACTTTCTTTAATTCATCCGTATGTTTTTTTGCTTAGGAAATTCGGCATTATTAATAATCCTTCAATTTTTGATAAAAAAAAAATATGTGTGTACTTGTACTTAAAAGCACGCTCTAAATTATGCTAAACATTGCCCTCGATTGTCAATTGTTATTATCTGTCCTATTGCTACAAAATATATAAAATGGTATTTTCGTAAGTCAAAATAAAAAAACTCAATAAATATAAAGCTTGAGCAGTTAGCGTGCAATTAATAGCGAGTCAATTCGGAGCAGTGAACCAATTTGGCTTTTTTATTTATTTATTTTCCTTTTTTGCAGAAGTTTAAAAAACAGAAATAGAGTAAACAAAATCGGCTCACTTTTGAAGTTTTGAGCTTTCAATAAGTTTAGTTGAGATCCCTAATATAACATAGTTAAACAAAAAAATTATATACATATATATGTATAAATAAATAATCTTTATATTGCCATAATAGTCATTTTTATGCTTAACAAATTTGCAATTAGAGTAAAAACAAAACAGTAAATTAGATTTGAAGTACTCCTTCTTGTTTTGTGCACGTATTCAACTTTCTTTTTTGAATGTCATCCACATTGACCATTAAAATATTTCTTAAATATGCAAAAAGTTAAAGCAAATAATTACAACGAAAAACCATTAACAGGTTTCCCCCAGAAGCAAAGAATTTTAAATTTTTTAAGAAAATAACACCCAAATTAAACAAAAATAAAATTGAAATGCTCATAATGCAATTAAGATTATTAGTGCTTTACAGAGTCCGAAATTAGTTGCTTATTAACCGACTTCTAAAAAAGGAGCAATGTTTTTTCTGTCTTTTTTTTTTTATGTATGTTACCGCATAACTTTGGACCATGTTAACCGATTTCGATAACTCTTTTCTTCATCGGAAAGGTGGTACTCAAGGGTGGCCCCATACTAATCTCTTAATTTTTATACGAGAATTGAACACCGGTTTGGTTTTTTGCTTAAAAATTACNTAACTCTTTTCTTCATCGGAAAGGTGGTACTCAAGGGTGGCCCCATACTAATCTCTTAATTTTTATACGAGAATTGAACACCGGTTCGGTTTTTTGATTCCCCTATTTTAGTTCATAACTTTACTTTATATGCCTACAAATAAATTAACTCTTTATGTACTAGATTATTTGTTTAATTAATTCGCCAAATGTTTAAATGATTATCCCGAAATATTAAACACTATGTATTCAAAAAACAAAATCTTATAGGGAATTTACATAAGGCGATTGTTCATGGAACTTTTAGTTGAAAGCAACAATCGCCTGGTGTAAACGGCCTTTCAACTAATGGCTTTCAATGAAGTTGTTCGGCTGCCTACTTTCGTTCAACTTTTGATTCAAGTAATCGCCTGTGAAAGTTGAATCATGTAAATTCCATTTTAGCATACAATTTAACTAAAACTCAATGACCCATCTATTTTCCTTTCAAATGTGTTACACCTTTAAAAAAAAAATTAAATAACAGATACGCAAACCACACCAATTATAATCCATAAGAAAAACGTCAAATAGGCATGTTAAATATTCACATACATAATTGATAAGTATACTTATCAGGTAATGTATGTATGAGTATTTACACGAAGAACGAAATTGTGCCTCGTGCATGTGGCAATAATTTATTTTAGCGATTCATTTTTTATAGTTGATTTATTAAGTAAAGACAAAGGGATTAAGTGTAGTAAACGAAATTGTAAAGAATTTTTAGAAACATGCTTCAATGCTAATGTACCTCCAATTATATGACTTAAAGCGTTGGATAGTAGTATGAGTTATTGCAACATTTATATAAATATCGTATTTTATAAAATCGTATACATACATAAATACATATATAGACTTATCATTGCTAATTTTTAGTCCTAGTCCTATGGTACGCCCTTTTTGCTGAATATGTAAATTATAAACTGTTTTAAGTAAATATATCTCTTATATACATATAAGTATTAAAAACAAAAGGTATTAATTTTTACTATGTATAAACTCAATTAATTAAACAATTTAAGAAAATTCCTCTGCTCTGCGGTCCCACCACGTCACTTCAGGTCGCACTTATCACTTGTTCAGCTGCTCCTGCGCGTTTCACATATTTGAGCAATCGTACAATGGTTGCTGGTGTAACGCCTTGTATACGACTCGCTGCTGCTATGGTCTGTGGTTGTATCAGCGACAATTTTTGTCGCTCTTCATTCGATAGACTTAACGATTTAGCGAAATAGTCAATATTAGCAGGTATCGCTAGTCCTTCATCTCGCCGCACATCGTCTACATCACGCCGCTGTTCGGCCACAAAATGTTCATACAATGCCTCAATTTTTAGCCGCTCACATATGGTTTGTTCAACTCCTAACCAGTCTAATTCGTCTGGTTGCAATTCTATAAGTTGTGTTAGTG